TAGAGTGAGGAGGGATTATTATTATTATTATACAGTATTTATAAAGTGCCAACAGTTCGCTCAGCGCTGTATATTACAATGGGAGACAATACACCCGACAGTACAATAACAATACAATGCGATACATGAGGGGTTCGAGGGCCCTGCTCCTTGGAGCTTACAATCTAGGAGGGAGGGGATAGTGGTACAGGAGGAAAAGCTGTGGGGAATGGAGTGGTAGGAAGAGTGGAGGAGGTCGGCAATTAGCAGGGGGTGGAATAGGCTTCCCTGAAGAGGTGAGTTTTCAGGGTGCGCCTAAAGGAGAGGAGAGTAGGTGATAGCCTGATGGATTGGGGTAGGGAGTTCCAGAGGATGGGTGATGCCCTGGAGAAGTTCTGGAGGCGGGCATGGGAGGAGGAGACCAGGGAACTAGAGAGAAGGAGGTCTTGTGAGGAGCGGAGAATGCGTTTTGGGTTGTATTTGGATATTAGGTCTGTGATGTAGTTTGGGGAAGTATGATGGACAGCTTTGTACGTCAGTGTTAGGAATTTAAATTTGATCCATTGGGCAATCGGAAGCCAGTGGAGGGATTGACAGGGGGGGGGGTGGAAACGGAGCGGTTGGTGAGGTGGATGAGTCTGGCTGCCGTATTCAGGATCGACTGAAGCGGGGATAGCCTGTGGCGAGGCAGGCCAGTGAGGAGGGAGTTGCAGTAGTCGAGTCGTGATATCATGAGGGAGTGGATGAGCTGCTTGGTGGTTTCTGGGGTTAGGAATGGGCGTATTTTGGCAATGTTGCGGAGGTGGAGCCTGCATGAGTTTGTTAGTGATTGGACTTGGGGCTGGAAGGATAGATTGGAGTCAAGAATGACACCAAGTACTCTCCTGCGTGGCGGGCCTGATGGTGGCATTGTTGGACGTGATGGATAAGTCAGTAGGGGGTGGTGTGGGGGCTGGGGGGAAGACTAGGAGCTCGGTTTTGGAGATGTTCAGTTTAAGGAAGTGGAGCGACATCCAATCTGATATGTCGTTCAGTGAGGCGAGGGGTCGAGAGATAGATTTGCATGTCGTCGGCATAGAGGTGGTAGTTGAAGCCATTAGAGTGCATGAGTTGCCCAAGGGAGGAGGTGTAGATGGAGAAGAGAAGGGCCCGAGGACAGAACCTTGGGGGACCCCTACAGAGAGGGGGAGTGAGGGGGAGGAGGTAGCGTTATAGGTAATGCTGAAGGAGCGTTGTGATAGGTAGGACGAGAGCCAGGAGAGAGCGGAGTCTCTGAGGCCAAGGGAGTGTCGTTTTTTGAGTATCAGGGGGTGGTCAACTGTGCCGAAAGCCATGGAGAGGTCGAGCAGAAGGAGCACTAAATAGTGGCCGTTAGCTTTGGTGGTTAGCAGGTCGTTGGAGAGTTTGATTAGAACCCCTGACAGTCTTTACTGATGTCTGTGCCCCCCGGTAGGGAGATTCATCTTCTCTATTTGTCCTGTTTACCATTATAATGAAAGTGAAAGTAAAAGAAAATCCCAAATTTTGGTTTGACATCAGAACACTAATTGATGGGAAATCTTCCAATGTGGGCACTAATTCTGGTGACCCTGGTGACACACTTGGATTTTCTCACTTTAGGGGGATTTCCTCTCACTTCCTGTTTTGGCTATGGGACAGGAACTGAAAGGAAATCTCCCTTATGGGATACAGACGACATAAAAAAATGATGGGGGTTATAACCTGCCCTCATTCTACCAAAAAAACCCAAAAACTTTTGCCTTTAGTTAAACATTAACCTTAAAATTATGTTCTGTATGGACTAAGGGAGTTCTGAACACATTTTCACTTGATTTATAAACTTCCCCCCCCCCCCAAAAAAAAAGTTCCACCCCCTGCATCCTATAAAATAATCTTAATTTCCAAAAGAGATGCTGTCATTACATAGTGAAAAAAAGGGTAAGTGGGACTTTGCTCCAGAACAAGACTTATCTCAGATGTTAGAGGAGTCAAGCCCCTAGTGACAAAGGGTGACTCCATAAAGAAGGGTTTCACCCTAATAACATTATTAGCAAGAACCTTCTCATTCCTGCTCCTAGCCAGGGTTTTTGGGTTTACATAATTTAAAAAATATCGACTTGTTCGCTTTAAAACAAACCTGTCATGAGAGAAATATAGGGGCTGCCTTTGCTGACGTCCTCTAAAAATGGTAGTTGCCTTGCTGGTATTCTGACTGTTATTGTGACTCTTTAGGACTTTCTAAGTTACCAACAATGAATATGTATGCGGACCAATCAAGTCAGAGGAAAGTCAAAAGTCCTTATTTGCCTACTTGTTCTGGGTCTGTAACCCCATGTGCTAAAGCAAGAGGGTCATTTCCTCTTTCCATGAGCAATTTTCTTTAAAGTTTACAGACTTTAGTTATGGGCTGTGTTATGATACAGTATGGTACAATATGATACAATGTCAAAAAAAACAAAGTTGATGTCTAGTTAGTTAACATACGTTAATGCACATCTCTCTAGTAACTGAATAATATTACACTGCAAATATAATCACACATAATGGTGCATTTTGAAGAGTGCTAAATGCAAATATTGAATGTTGGCAATGGACAAGTAAAAGTCCAATACTGAATAAGAAAAGAATTTGCATGGTAAAGCAACATTTTGTAGGAAGGTAGGTCAATAAACATTTGAATCTAATTTGAATCTAATTGAACCGCTTTCTTGGAGAATGAACTAGTGCTGATATTTGGAGTGTTAATTTTAGTGATGATTTAATATTTGTGAGCGCTGGTTTAGTACTGAGATTTTCATCAGAAGCTCATGTTAATCCATCTGTGTGCATGAATATATTTCTGGGATAAATGGGCTTATGTTGATGAAGACTAAAATTTAAATCTGGACATGGAGATTTTCATTTAGCCACTTTCTGGAAAGGGAAGATGTATAACTTATGAACAAATTAATACTTAAATTAAAACTCATCTGATATAAATCAACTGAGCAATTCCCAGTGCAAACAATCTATTTAACTGCATTCCACACGGACAACATCTTGAAAATGAGAAATGGCATGGCTCAGTGTTTTTTTTTTTTTTTCTCGATTTGCTTAGCATATACATAGACATACATAGATAGGACATAGACCTTGTGGTTACCATAAGAAAAATGTTTATAATACATATACCATTTCTCATGGTAACATGTCTTGATAACAAGGAAGTTGCCCAAAAAGATTGGTATGTTGGCCTTTTTGATGGAAGAGTCATTGCCTTTTCTTGGTAGATGAGTTTCTTCTAAGAGCAGGGATCAGCTGTGGAATGTCAACACAGCTGCACGCTTGTTTGCTCCTGTGCTAGACAACTAAAGTGGTAATGACGGTGATTTTTAGGCAGGAGAGCTATTTCCCAAGGATTCAGATGGCTGAGAAAATGAAGCAATGTGGAATTATTGCTCATTGTTACAAGACCAAGTGACTTAGAACTGTGGGTGAATAATCTGCTGCTGTTGTACTAGTCAGGTCCTTGCCTGCTCAGTGACTTCTACAGCAAGCTAAGAGATAAGGTATTATCTTTACCTGGCAGTTGTTGTGGAGTCTGTATGAGCCACTGCAAGAACAGTCTCAAGCTATTATTATTTCTGGGTTTCCCACACCACTATTGTTTAGTTTTTTTTTTTTCGGTGAGCAGGGGCTTTAGCAACCTTGTGGGGTGCACTGTAAGGTGCTTCTCAGTTCATCTAGTTAATTTTCATGGATTTACATACCTCTACTTTCTTAGAGATGGGTATGCTGGTGTCATAATTCTGCTCTTGAACCTAAACTTTATACAAGCACTGGGTGCAAAAATGTTATTGTAAATCAAGTGTTTTCAAGCTGCACCTTCAAATTATGTTCTACTGCTGAAAAGTGTTCTTTAGTAAGACTGCTTATATTTGTAATTGTGCCATTGCCCATGTGTTCCACACCCTTTAATACAGTTATCTCCATATTACAGGTGTTGAATGCAGCTTAAGGTAGAACTAAAGGCAAAATTTTTTATTCATTTTGGATAGAGTAAGGGGATCTGTAATCCCAGTAAGGTTTACTTTTACCATCTGTGTCCTATTGGAGAGATTTTCCTTCACTAGCTGTCCCAACACCAGAACAGAAATTGAGAGAAAATCGCTCTAAAGAGAGGAAATCACTGAATGTCACCAGAACTAGGGTCCCCATTGGAAGATACCCCCACTATTCCTGTTCTGAGGACAACCCAAAATTTGGGATTTACTTTTATTTTCACTTTTGATGATAATGGTAAATAGGATTAATAGAGAAGGTGAATCTCCCAAACAGGGACAAGACAACAATAAAACCTGACAGGTTTTATTTCCTCTCCACTCTATCCAAAACTATAAAAAAAAAGTTTTGACTTTAGTTATACTTCAGGAGAATAAGCATGGATGAACACTCGTGATGGTTGTTTATTCAGTTCTTTACAAAGTAGTTTTCCACGTCAGAAATTCTTTTTGGAAGGGTAATTTACCCAGTGTCATTCAGGCTATCATAGTTATTGTTTTTCACCCCTAATAAATAAATGACACCTCTTCTTCTTCTATAGGTACTTCTATAGCGCCATCAATTTATGCAGCACTTTACATATATTGTACATTCACATCAGTCCCTAACCCTCAAGGGGAGTACAATCTAAAGTTCCTAAATCACTTTCATACATACACATACTAGAGCCAATTTAGACAAGATCCAATTAACCTACCAGCATGTCTCTGCTTGCACACAACTAACCAAGACATTTACCAAAAGTTACACAGTTAAAAATTAAATTTGGTGTACCAGTCCAATGGAGGTACACATTGGTAAAAAAAAAAAAAAAGATTCAGTTTTTGTATAGACTTTTTCTTCCCTTGTTTTTACTAAACTTTGAGGCTTTATATTAGTAAATAGCATATAATTGCAACATTTGCTAGAAAAAAAATTAGAATGGTCTTACCTAGGATTTTACCAATTACACTGAAGGCATCTGTATGTGTTTTTTTAAGGATGAAGTTAATCAAATCTTGGAGACCAACTTGTGGCTTCGCCATGTAAGTAGTTTGCTATATGCATTCTGTCATTTAACACCTGAATTGTTGTTATGCACTTAATGATTACATTTGATTTTACCTACAATTATGGATCCTTCCTGAAAATAACAGTCATATGAGGTATAGTTTATTACATAGAATGGCAATGTAAAGTTACAGTTAGGGAGTTCAAGAATCAATAACTAATATGAATATGAATCTTGACCCAGTTTGTCTGTTCCCTGGTGGAAATTTAGCCTAGAACTCCAGTACTAATAAAAAAAAACAAGCTTTGATGTTAAAGTGCATTTTTAAAATATATCTCTAGGCAAAACATATTATTAAGTGGATACAGTGGGGACAGGTTAGACCCTTGATGAAGAACAATAATAGTGACAGTGTGGTGCTTAATAGATATAAAAATATATATTTTTTTATTGCTATCCTTGTCCTCATTGGGGAGATTCACCCCTCTATTTAGCCTGATGATTGTTCTCCATGAGAAAGGAAGTGAAGGGAAATCCAAAATTTTAGAGTTGCCCCAGAGCAAATGGTAACAGACATTTTTACAGTAGGGACACCTAATTTGGAGACAGAGGAAGTCCCCTCACTTTGGGAGCTTTCCTTTAACTTCCTTTTGTATCTCTGGAACAGGAAGTGAAGGGAATGTCCCCAATTGCACATAAACAGAAAAAAATAAATTGGCAGGGGGTTTTGCCCTTCTCTACTCTCCTCAAAACGATATAAAGTTTTGGCCATAAATACAATTGAAATATATTGAATGATTTGTTTAGGCTAGACAATGCTTTTAATGTAGGGATCCTCCCCAAAAACTTTGAAAAAAGTCCTGTAATTTTACTGAAGCTCATTGAAAAGCTTAGAATGCAATGCAAATGTGGTCAAGTCCAATCAAAATAAAAATTCCTGGAAGAGGTACGGAATCAAATTACAGACTGTGACCAGAGCTGGACAAGATCTTTCTTTGCTTCAGGTGGCAAGCAGACTTACCTGACTAGAGTTTGGTTAGAATTGATGTGGTGATGCAGTGCCCAGAGGGATAGATACTTTTTTTTAACATTTTATGTTGGTTAAACCTCTTGCATCAAGCTAAATGTAAGCCTAATTTAATTATTCTTGTATTAAACTTATATTCTACATCTTACTGCTGTGGCACTAACTTAAAGAAGCCTACCTCTAATGTAAAACTCTAATAGTACTAAAAATCAAAAGAAAAGTTAAGATTTGATGATTATAGATTACCATAGATGCCATATTTATCTAATAATTGTTAATCATACTGTATGAAAATCTAACTAGTATTGTGCTGTGAAACGGATTGGACAAAAAAACAAACAAAAAGTCGCAGTTTAGTTAAATAATGTAATGTGTGTGGATAGGATTAAAATGAAAATCTAGTAAATTAATGATTTAATTTGCTTTGTCTAACAGATCTGGAATGATTACAAGCTGCAATGGAATCCTATGGATTATGATGGAATTGAATTTATGCGTGTTCCTGCAGACAAGATTTGGAAACCTGACATTGTCTTATATAATAAGTATGCAATCTATTTTAATTGCATTATGACTTAGTTTCACAGTAAAACAGATTAATTACACAATATTATCTTTTTTGCAGCGCCGTTGGAGACTTTCAAGTAGAAGGGAAGACTAAAGCTTTACTGAAATACAATGGCTTAATAACCTGGTCTCCTCCAGCAATCTTCAAGAGCTCATGTCCTATGGATATAACTTTTTTTCCATTTGATCATCAGAACTGTTCGCTGAAGTTTGGCTCATGGTCATATGACAAAGCTAAAATAGACCTTTCTATCATTGGATCAAAAGTTGACATGAAAGATTTTTGGGAGAACAGTGAATGGGAAATAGTTGATGCTTCTGGATATAAACACGATATTAAATATAATTGTTGTGAAGAGATCTATACCGATATAACATATTCTTTTTATATCAGAAGACTCCCTATGTTCTACACCATTAATCTGATCATGCCATGCCTCTTCCTTTCATTTTTAACTGTACTGGTGTTCTACCTTCCATCTGACTGTGGGGAGAAAGTCACTCTCTGCATCTCTGTGTTGTTGTCCTTGACTGTGTTTTTGTTGGTAATCACCGAAACCATTCCCTCAACCTCTCTGGTAATTCCACTTGTTGGAGAATACCTTCTATTCACCATGATATTTGTAACGCTGTCCATAGTAGTAACAGTATTTGTGCTTAACATCCATTACCGGACACCAACAACACACAAAATGCCTGCATGGGTCAGGGATGTCTTTTTGAAACGCCTTCCTAAATTACTTATGATGAGAAAGACTATGGAGAAAAAAGACCGACCTTGTTCTAAAAGAAACAGGAAGAGGAATTTTGGCAAGACAGGAAAACTCATGAATTCACAGTGTAGAGATGTGGAAGTTTTTGAAGATGAGACTTGTTATCACTGTATGAAAACAAAGGAACAGAGCACAAGAAACCGCAGGCGACATCACCAAGAAGCTTGTAACGCAGTTCAACAGTCACCAGGAGAAATGAAAGATGTTGTTGACAGCATTCAGTTCATGTCAGAAAATATCAAAGATCATAACGAAAGGAAAGAGGTAAGAATTATCACACACCAACCAATCATAGTTGAGTAATACTATTTTATTAATTCCAAACAGAATTCTTTTAAAAGCAGATCTATTTTGAATGTTTGGCAATAGGTATCTACTAATTCTATTTTATATTAAATCTGCTTTTAAAATGGCAATATATAGGAGCCTGATACCACTCCGTCTTGGGTATATGTGCTCCTAGTTGCTACAGATTGTTCTTTCTGTGCTGATATTTGGCTTGTATACGGGCACCTTTAGGCAGTGTACACTGCAGTTACTAATCTTTGAAGGACAAGGGATAAACTTTATTATCACAGAGCTTTTCCAGCATGTAGAACCTGTGTATAGAATCATCAAGTGCTTAAATGACTCAGATGTGCCTTAAATCTCAGATGTGCCATAACCAATGATGGGGCGCTATTCCTCCCACTGACACTAATGATGGGACACTATTCCTCACACACTGACACTAATGATGGGGCACCATCATTGGTGTCAATGGGAGGAATAGTGCCTCATCATTGGTGTCAGTGGAAGGAATAGTGCCCCATCATTGGTGTCAGTGGGAGGAATAGTGCCCCATCATTGGTGTCAGAGCGAGGAATCGTGCCCCATCATTGGTGTCAGAGCGAGGAATCGTGCCCCATCATTGGAATACCATACCATATTGAAATCAAATCTGATGTTTTTTCATTTTTATTTGGTGTGCGTTGGAAGAGGGGTTGTCTTATACGCCCAGTCATCTTATACGCCGGAAAATACGGTACTGTTTTGTGTAGGTGATCAATCTACTATACATACCATTAGTAAACTTATTAAAATTATGCTATAGGTGACATATTCTTCACATTGTTGCTCTGAATTGTCTGTGTCTTTTATTTTAGGAAGAAGATGATTGGAAGTATGTTGCAATGGTTATTGACCGAGTCTTTCTTTGGGTCTTCATAATCCTATGTGTTCTAGGTACCACTGGCTTATTTTTACAGCCAATGATAGATGGGAACAAAACATAAAGATTTTCTACAAGAACTTTTTTACGCGCCTTTTGTATCATTGATAAAGACACTTTTTGTTTTAGTTTCCAAGTGTTTTCATATGTATTTACACAACTGATAGAAGATGGTGCACACAATTATATAGGTTGAAGCAGGAAATAAATGCAATAATGAATATTACATTCACATTCAGTTATGATAATGAAGGATTTCTTGTCACTTACAGTACCTATATCTTGCTCCTCTTTAGTAGCCCCACCCCCCCGTTAAATTTGAACCATTCACAGTGCAGTCTAGTCTAATGGTTAGGAACACTTACAATTTTATGAATACCTGTTAGGATGCAAGTGGAGACCAAGGATTAAGCTAGAATTGCAAATCTAAGACTGGTAAAATAGTTTTGAACAGTAAAGTAAAGTTTACAGACATAAGTGTTACAAAGAGTGCAATATTATAAATGCAAAATGTAGTGTTCATTGATAGGCAAAGGGGTTGATTTAGTAAATGAAAATAGGCTGTGCACTGCAAGTGCACTGAAACTGCATTTGCTCTAGATCTGAAGGGAATATGCAAGGAAAATAAAAAAACAGCATTTTTGCTTGCACATGATTGGATGAAAGAAATAAGCAGAGCTTCGCCTCATTTCAGAGATTCCCCATGGATATAAAGCAACTGTACTTGCAGTGCACAGCCTATTTGCATTTAGTAAATCAACCCCATAGTGTTGTATTATCTGACATTGAAAAACCACCTTGCAATTTTGATATAGTAAAGGCGACTCGTGGGTTAGAATTTAATTTACAGTCCATAGTTTTGAATATTTATAGATATCATGTAATATTATACTGGAGAAATCTACCAGAAATAGTAGCCATTGGTTGTTTTAAAAATTCATAGATATTATATATAGTGCTGTGAAAAAGTATTTGCTCCATTCCTTTTTTGCATATTTGACACATTTAAATGCTTTAGATCATTAAACAAATTTTAATATTACACAAAGAGAACCCGAATAAATACAAAATGCAGTTTTTAAATTATGATTTCATTTATTAAGGGAAAAAAGCTGTCAAAATCTGCCTGGCCCTATGTGAAAAAGTAATTGCCCCCCATCTTTGCTAAATCATGAATGAACTGTGATTAACCACATTTTGGGAAAGCTGAGCTAAAGAGTTAAATTTCACTTGCCAAACCCAGACCTGATTGCTGCCAGACCTGTTGAATCAAGAAATCACTTAAGTAGAAGCTGTCTGAAAAAGTGAAGCATGCTAAAAGATCTAAAAACACAACACATCATGCCACAATCTAAAAAAATTCAAGAACAGATGAGAAACCAAATAATGGACATGTTGCAGCCTGGAATGGTTATAAAGCCATGTCCAAGGCTTTGGGACTCCAGCGAACTACGGTGAGAGCCATTATTCACAAGTGGGAAAAACTTGGCACAGTGGTGAATTTTCCCAGAAGTAGCCAATCTACCAAAATTACTCCAAGAGCACAACAATGACTCATCCAGAAGGTCATAAAAGGACCCAGAACAAAATCTAAGGAAATGCAGGCCTCAGTTGCCTCAGTTAAGTTCAGTGTTCATGATTCAACAATAAGAAAGAGATTGGGAAAAAATGGCATCTATGGGAAATTTCCAAGTCGAAAGTCACTGTTGACCAAAAAAGAACACAAAGGCTCATTTCACATTTGCCTAAACACATGTTGATTATCCCCAAGACTTTTGGGTAAATATTCTGTGGACTGATGAGACAAAGCTGAAATTTTTGAAAAGTGTGTTTGTTACATCTGGCATAAAACTAACACATCATTTCATAAAAAGAACATCATACCAACAATCAAACATGGTGGTGGTAGTGTAATGGTCTGGAGCTGTTTTGCAGCTTCAGGACCTGGATGACTTGCCATAATTGATGGAACCATGAATTCTGCATTCGTTATGCAGCAGGACAATGATCCAAAACACACCAGCAAGTCCACCTCTGGATGGCCCAAAAAAGACAAAATTAGGTTTTGGAGTGGCCTAGTCAAAGTCTGGACTTAAATCCAATTGAGACATGCCAATTGTGGCATGACCTTAAACAGGCCATTCATGCTTGAAAACCCTCCAATGTGTCTAAATTAAAACAATTCTGCAAAGAAGAGTGGACCAAAATTCCTCCACAGTGATGTGAAAGACTCATTGCCAGTTGATGTCGCAGTTGTTGTAGCCAAGGGTGGCACAACCAGTTGTTAGGTTTAGGGGGCAATTACTTTTCACATAGGGTCAGGCAGGTTTGGACAGCTTTTTCCCCTTAATCAATGATTACAATGATACATTTTGTATTTACTCAGGTTATCTTTGTGTAAAATTTAAATTTGTTTAATGATTTGAATCATTTAAGTATGACAAATATGCCAAAAAAAAAATTAGGAAAGGAGCAAATACGTTTTAACAGTACTGTAATGTTACCAGATCAGTAAAAGGATTCTTGGCTAGATGACACTGGTACATGTATATTTTTATTACTCTGTGGTCTAGAACAGAAGGACGTTCTGGCTATTCTGTTAGAAAAGTTTTATGCATATTAAAATTACAATGTATGCAATGATGTTTTGCTTACAAATAAAAGTGTATGGCTGCTAAAAGCATACCTATATAGGTCTTGCACAACATTTCTTTATTGAAGGTCTGGCCTGTCCAATTCCAGGTTAGTCAACACCAGATGCAGTTTTATGCATTGTTATGTACTGAACAATTTGTGTCAATGTCGGAAGATATAATATGCTAGAAGAATGCTGGTTAGATATAATATAATGTCCAGGGTATCATACATTTCTGGAGGAAAGCTGAGGAGGATACAGTTTAGTGCTTGGGCATATGGTGGATTGCTATTGGAGTACTGACATGATATTATATCATGTTTCAGAGTATAATGTTATGTAATGTTAAAAGATATACTTTTGTTGATATATAAATATATTTTATAATGCTGCAGGATACAAAATAATATGGCTAAACTGTGATAATATAATACTTGACCACTGGAGTATTATAGTATATTAAAAATGACAGAGAAGTCATAATTCTGCTGGAGAGCGGGTGTGCTATGATGCTGCCTGCGGTGGAGGATATTGCAGTTATATTGATGGTATGTATATAACTGACATGCGCCAACCTTGGGCCATGGACATGATTAACCTGCATTGCCCAGTTTAAACTTTAATGAGGCGGTGGCTGGCTGTACTGCTATGAGAATACATTGAATGATATGTTCTTCAGTATTCCACCTGATCTATACACATCACATAAAAAGATGTGTATTGAGGAATGCAAGCTCCTGATTGACAGATTCACTTGGTATGTCATCTGACGACTCTAGTGACCTGAGATGTACAGCTGCACACTAGAAAACTTATCTTTGGAAATGTGTGGAATTTCTACCTTGCCCAGCTGCAAAAATAAATATTTCTTCAATGTTGTATTCTATTCTCACCATGTTCTCCATTCAGAAAATTTAAACTTAAAAGTGTATGTATGGTCAAAATGTAAAAGCATATATTCATTTCCACAAGGTATTGTATTTCTTTCTAGCCTACACCTATTAGTCTGAATGATTTTGATTTGTAATCTTACTTTGTGAAGAATTTAACACATTTACTTCCTGGAATTCTGTGACACATATTCATTATGTCCTGTGAGTAGGCACTGCTGTGTCACATATTCCACAGGCTATAAATAAGATTCTATGGCGCAACCTTAATCCACATGGGACATTAGTAACATTTGCATGAGTCCATAGAGTCCAAATTTATCTTCAATTAGTCCATAAAATGTACACCACAGAGGCAGCTCCACCAAAAAGACTGGAATGGATCCTTACTGTATAGACAAAAGAAAGCACAAGGGGGTGCCTCTAAGTGCAGCATATAAAAACACTTTATTGAAATCATCAGTAGTAATCTCACCTATGTAGATGAATAGTATGTTTGTAAATGGAAGCAGGCCTCAACATGGGGATCCATAAGTCTATCGGTGGTAGTGGGGGAGATGGAAGCCGGGTAACAGGGATAAATATAAACACTCCACAGCGCAATAAAATATATAAATGTGTAAAAGGTCCAAACAAAAGTCCCAAAAGCATATAAGAATGTGCTCCAGTCCCAAAAATAGTGCTCAACAAAATCTTCAAACAAAGTGTGCTTACACCATCCGTGATTAATGATCCAATCCCCACTCACTAGATGGAGTGGACTCTTTGCTGGTATGGCTAAAGAGTCAAACAAGCTTTAAAGACTGGGTATATCCTCCCCAGGGTCACAGGGATAGCAAACCGTGGTGAACCACCGCTATGGAAGATCCTGTTAGACAAAGAACCGGAAGTGCTGCCGGAACCAGAGTGGAATGCACGACCAGACGTGATGTTTCGGAGCACAAATCAGCTCCTTTCTCAAACTTTTTGAGAAAGGAGCTGATTGGTGCTCCAAAACACATCACCTTGGCAACCTAGTTCCTGGATCCTCCTCTCCTAAAGTCACATCTGGTTGTGCGTTCCACGTTGGTTCCAGCAGCACTTCCGGTTCTTTGTCTACCAAGATCTTCCATAATGGTGGTTCACCGCGGTCTGCCATCCCTCTGACCCAGTTTCCATCTCCCCCACTACCACCAATGGACTTCTCCCTGTTGAGGCCTGCTTCCATTTACAAGCCTACTACTCATATACATATGTGAGTTTACTACCGATGATTTCAATAAAGTGTTTTTATATGCTTCACTTAGAGGCGCCCCCTTGTGCTTTCTTTTGTTTTTACATATTTCACAGAGCCTGCCTTCTGAACAACAGAGGTGCTGAGTGGAGGAGTTTCAGGAGGCGGAGTCAGTACAGGAATCACTGCTTGCAGGCAGCAAGGGTACTATGGGATATGTAGTCCTTAGAAATTGAACATAAACGGCAGAGGAGAAGCTATAAAGCATGCAGGGAATCCAGGAAGTTGAGGAAAAGAGATTTTTCAAGTAAGTTTATATTTGATTG